TAAAATTCCCAGCTGCGCCTGAATCGACTAGCGCCTTATGCTGGGAATGAGATGCAACCTGAGGAAATACCACAGGTATACACAAGTGAACAACAGAGAGCTCTGGGTGAGTGGGGTGCCTACTCACCTGAAATGACTCCCCAGTGCGCGACCTGTTGCCCCGATTCCCTGGAGACCCTCCCCAGCACCTAGCCGCAGTGTGTCCTCCACGGCCACAGCTGGTGCAGGGGATGGCCCCCCTCGGGTTCTCTCTCCTTCTCTCTCTAGCGCCAGCACCCCCGAGCTCCATAGGGCTCGGCTCGGAGGTGCTGGGGGATGGAATGGACGGCCCCAACTCGGGACGTCCGCGGGTGACCAGCAGGGTATCCAGACGAATGGACATGTCCACTAGATGGTCGAAGGACAGATTGGTGTCCCTGCAGGCCAGCTCTCGACGAACGTCCTCACGCAGGCTACACCGATAGTGGTCGATGAGGGCCCTCTCATTCCACCCCGCATCCGCCGCTAGAGTCCGGAAATCCAGGGCGAACTCCTGTGCGCTCCTCTTCCCCTGTCGGAGGTGGAACATACGCTCCCCCGCCGCTTTACCCTCAGGAGGGTGATCGAAAACAGCCCTGAAGCGGCGGGAGAACTCCGCGTAGCTGATGGTGGCGGCGTCTATTCCCCTCCATTCGGCGTTGGCCCACTCCAATGCCTTGCCGGAGAGACAGGAGATGAGGGCGGAAACGCTCTCGTATCCCGAGGGCGCCGGGTGTATGGTGGCCAGGTAGAGTTCCACCTGAAGGAGGAACCCCTGACACCTGGCTGCGGTGCCATCATACGCCCTCGGGAGCGAGAGCCGAATCCCACTGGATTCCGGAGCTGGTCTGGTAGGGCTGGCCGATGGTGGTGGTAGTGTAGGAGGAGGTGTGGGCACGCCTCCCCTTTCCCATCGGCGCAGGGTGTTCATAACCTCCTGCATGGCGGAGCCGAGTTGCTGGATCCTGGCGTCCTGGCAGCTGACCCGATCCTCCAGTGACTCGGTCGCCGCCGCTGCTCCTGCTGACTCCATATTCTGGTGTGTTGTTCTGTCAAGGGCTGATGTGGATGCGGTGTTGGAGTCAGGCGCAGGACACAGAAGCTTAGTCGAACCGACTTTAATTGTCACAAAGACAAATACAAAATAACGGGCCTCAAAACACAGGAGGCGAGCGATTACGCAAACGGTGCGTAAAACACTAAACACTAGAAAACAATAAACATACACCAACGGACAGGCGTTCAACAACACACAACTGCAAACAAAACCAAAGGAAACTTATAGGTGACCTAATCAATACATTATACGAAACAGGTGCACCACAAGACAAAACCAAACAAACATAGAGAACATCAAGCGGTAGCAGCTAGTACTCCAGGGACGACGAACGCCGAAGCCTGCCCGAACAAGGAGGAGGAGCAGTCTCGGCGGAATTCGTGACAGCGTTTTTCTGGATTTTTTTGTTGTTATTCTGTCTCTCACTGTTCAAATAAACCTACCATTAAAATGATAGACTGATTATGTCTTTGTTTTTTGAACCAATTATTGTGCAAGTGCAAGATTTATTTAAAGATATGAATGCACAATGTAATGTTTTGAACATTGGACAGCCTATGTTACAAGTGATGACCGTTTTGAGTTTTGTGTCTAGAGTTTTGAAAAATTACGTCAAGGTTCTGAAATTAGTGCCAAAGTGATTGTAAAAAACTGTAAAGAAATGTCTGCACTTCACAATAACTGACCTGTACTGCACATACATGGATAATGGTTCAAATAATGAACTATGTCTGTATAGAACCTTCAGACTGTATTCAGTGTGTGTGTGTGTGTGAGTGTGAGTGTGTGTGAGCATGTGTGTGCGTGTGAGTGTGTGTGTGTGCGTGTGTGTGAGAGTGTGTAAGTGTGTGTGTGTGTGTGTGTTTGTGTGTGTGTGTGTGTGTGTGTAAGTATGTGTGTGTGTAAGTGTGTTAGTGTGTGTGTGTGCGTGTGTGTAAGTGTGTATGTTTGTGTGTGTGTGTTTTGTGAGTGAGTGTGTGTGTGATAGTGTGTGTGTGTGTGTGTGATAGTGTGTGTGTGTGTGTGTGTGTGTGTGTGTGTGTGTGTGTGTGTGTGTGTGTGTGTGTGTAAGTGTGTAAGTGTGTGTGTGTGTGTGTGAGAGAGAGTGTGTGTGTGTGAGTGTATGTGTGTGTGTGTGTGTTTGAGTGTGTGTGTGAGTGTGTGTGTGTGTGTGTGAGAGAGAGAGTGTGTGTGAGTGTGTGTGACAGAGAGAGACACTCTCAGTGTTGTCTGGGGGTGGAGGCTGTCGTTGTCGTGCCTACGGTAGGGCTGGTGAATTTACGACCCAGCGTGCACTCTATCGTCGCGGTGACAGTGGTCGCTCTGGGAAACGGAAATCAATGCTGATGGTAACGACTCACAGGTCAGCAGGGTGTGTGTGTGTGATTGAGATAGAGAGAGAGAAAGAGAGAGGGGGAGAGTGAGAGAGAGATAACAGATAAGGTCCTGTCCAAATCCATTACCGACAGGTTAATATTTGATGTCTGTAGGCTATCCAATGGATGACTGCTTTTAGGTCTGGCCCAAGAGTAAGAGTAGTAATGTCTTGAACTAAACAACAACAGAGCTTTTCTTCCATTACTCTCCCTGACCAAACCATCTGAAAAACTCTGATTCTTCTTTTAATGTTTGTAAAAGGTGTAAATTGTTGTGTGAATGTGTGTGTGTGTGTGTGTTTGTTTGTGTGTGTGTGTGTGTGTGTGTTGTGTATGTGTATGTGTGTGTGTGTCTGTGTGTGTGTGTGTGTGTGTGTGTGTGTGAGTGAGTGACATCAGCAGTTTTCCCTATAGACACAATCTGTTTTTCAACAGAGTGAAACATTCACACATTCCCCATTTACACTCTCCGACAATGAGATGACCCCACAGACACAAAGGTCAGGACGTATGTGTGGGTGTGTGTGCGTGTGTGTCTATGTGTGCGCTTTCTTGTGCACGTGTGTGTCTTTAGTTGAGTTGAGCCTTAACAGAGGTCAGTGGCTATAGCAGATCGTGTATATACTGTATGCCTGTGCTGCTCCAGAGTAGGAAATATATATTAGCTATAAACTCAAGAGGTGGACTGAGAGGTGGACTGAGAGGTGGACTGAGAGGTGGACTGAAAGGTGGACTGAGAGGTGGACTGTGTGATGCGAACTGAGAGGTGGACTGAGAGATGGACTGAGAGGTGAACTAAGAGGTGGACTGAGAGGTGGACTGCGAGGTGGACTGAGAGGTGGACTGAGAGGTGGACTGAGAGATGCGGACTCAGAGGTGGACTGAGAGGTGGACTGAGAGGTGGACTGAGATGTGGACTGAGGTGGACTGAGAGGTGGACTGAGAGGTGGACTGAGATGTGGACTGAGAGGTGGACTGAGAGGTGGTCTGAGAGGTGGACTGAGAGGTGGACTGAGAGGTGGACTGAGAGGTGGACTGAGAGGTGCTGAGATGTGGACTGAGGTGGACTGAGAGGTGGACTGAGGTGGACTGAGAGGTGGACTGAGAGGTGGACTGAGAGGTGGACTGAGAGGTGGACTGAGTGGTGGACTGAGAGGTGGACTGAGAGGTTGACTACATGTGGCAGGTAGGAGGAGATACTCACGTGAGTCACCACATCACATGATGAAAAGAGGGATAGAAAGAAAACATGATGATGATTGGAGGAAAATGCCAGTGTCATACTTCCACAAACTGAGTTTATTTGTCCTGTAAGAAAGAATTCTATGAAAAACTTTTTGTAGTTTTGTAAAGTAATTTTCATCACGTTTATCTATATTGGTTGTTACATGTTCATAACAATTTCCAGAATAGACTCGATTAAATGTATCCTACAGAATGCATGTAATTGCAAATGTCTCTTCGCTGTCACTAAATTATGCTTGCCATGTCTCTAGTCTCCATTTGTAATCTTTCCCATTGAGAAGTATAGCCCAACGCACGGCTAGCACTTTCCCTTCCACTCTGTGAAACACAGCCATCCAACCCTCTCAGTGTCCATCCCATCCTGATATATGAACAGAGGTTTATCAGGGCAGGCCAGTACATATGTAAGTTGGGCCTTATAGTTGACCTTACAAAGCACTTAGTCCCCCCCAGTCCTAGCCAGAGTAATGCTGCTACAAGCCATTTATTCACCTAACCACTGTCAAGACCACATCAATCAGCATTAGGAACCCTCTCCCTTCCCTCTCTCTCTCTATCGCTCATTAGTTCATTCTCTCTCTCTCTCGTTCTCTCTATTCCTCTCTCTCGTTCATTTGTTCGTTCTCTCTCTGACTGCAGGGTCCATTTCCCTCACTATTTTTCTTTTTTGCCCAATCTTCCCGTCTTCTCTGCTCTCCCTCATGAGCTGGTCTCTCTCCTATCTTCGAGAAGCCTCTCCTCCTAACCGTTGTCCCCTCATCGTCTCACTTCCTGTCTCTTATCTCCTCTCTCTCTCTCCTCTCTCCCTCTCTACTTCTTTGCTAACCTTCTCTCTCTCCATTCCTTTCTCTCTCCCACTCCCTCCCTCCCTCCCTCTCCTTTTTCCTCCTTACAGATAGATAGAGAGATGTGGTCCCTGAGCCCTAACCTTGTATTGGCACCTCCATTGATTTTAATTAGTCTAATTAGTTCATTATTGCAGGGTTCATGGTGGCCATCCATTACAGGCCATCCCGGAGTTAATATGCTAATGAACCCAATCAATGATCCCTCAAAGCTAAAGTCATTAACAAGAGTATTAGCATAGTCAACGATGGCAACCTCATGACCCTCTTGTTTTTGTCTCTGTGTCTGCATATCTCTCTCTCTCTCTCTCTCTCTCTCTCTCTCTCTCTCTCTCTCTCTCTCTCTCTCTCTCTCTCTCTCTCTCTCTCCCTCTCTCTCTCTCTCTCTTATATACATAATACATATAGGCCTACACAATACAAAACATGGTCATTTCTGATTGATCAATGATAATCCCATTACTCTATGGATGGCTGGTGCCAGGGACTAATATGATCTATGGGATCTACAGAGTTGATGGGGATGGGGATGGGAATGGGGATGGGGATGGGGATGGGGATGGGATGGGGATGGGGATGGGGATGGAGATGGGGATGGGGATGGGGATTGGGGATGGGATGGGGTGGGGGGGAATGGGATGGGAATGGGATGGGGGATGGGGATGGGGGATTGGGAGGGGGGTGGGGATTGGGATGGGGAAAATTTGGGGGGATGGGGAAGGGGAAGGGGGGGGAAGGGGGAAAGGGGGTGGGGATGGGGAAGGGGAGGGGAAGGGGATGGGATGGGGATGGGGATGGGATGGGGAGGGAGATGGGGAAGGGGAAGGGGAAGGGGAATGGGATGGGGATGGGAAGGGATGGGGATGGGAAGGGGGGTGGGGGAAAGGGATGGGGATGGGAATGGGATGGGGGTGGGAATGGGATGGGATGGGGAGGGATGGGGATGGGGATGGGGGATGGGAATTTGGGATGGGGGGTGGGGATGGGGGATGGGGGTGGGGATGGGGGATGGGGAGGGGATGGGGATTGGGGATGGGGATGGGGGGGTGGGGGTGGGGTGGGGATGGGATGGGGATGGGGGATGGGGATTGGGATGGGAATGGGATGGGAATGGGATGGGAGGGGATGGGATGGGGATGGGGATGGGGATGGGGATGGGGATGGGGATTGGGATGGGGATGGAGATGGGGAAGGGGAAGGGGAAGGGGAAGGGGATGGGGATGGGGAAGGGGATGGGGAAGGGGATGGGGATGGGGAAGGGGATGGGGATGGGGATGGGGAAGGGGATGGGGAATGGGAATGGGGATGGGGATGGGATGGGATGGGATGGGGATGGGGATGGGGATGGGGATGGGGATGGGGAGGGGATGGGGAGGGGATGGGGATGGGAATTAGGATGGGATGGGGATAGGGAATTCTGGGGTGAGAAAGTGGGAGTGATCAGTGGTCAACATCAACAAATCAAAGTGTGATTGACTGATCCCTAATGATCTGCTCTAATCTCCCTTGATCCCTCAGTGATCTCTGGACTGCCCCTTGCTGCCCCCTGGGCAGGGCCAATCAGAGGGAATTAACACACACTAACACACACACGCAACTATGTTCAGTGGAGGAAAATGAGCGTTTATATAGTGTTTGTTTTTAAAGAGAGGGATAGGAGTGAGAGAGGAAGATGGAGAGACAATGAGGGTGAGAGACAGCTGGGAGGACACAGAAAGAGAGAAAGAAAGAGAGACATTATGACTTAGGTCCAGGGAGTCCATGTCAGTCTTCAGGTCCTGGTTTTCAGAATGTAGACTACACACACTCTCCTCCATAACCCTCCTCCGCTGCTCCAGATCCTGACAAAACCATACAGAGAAGTAGACTTCATCCACTGGATCCTAAAACCACACAGAGAAGTCAACTTCATCCACTGGATCCTTAAACCACACAGAGAAGTCAACTTCATCCACTGGATCCTAAACCCTCCCGTTGTCCTAGGGTCAAAATGACCCGCCACTGTGTTGAACCAACTTTATTTAATTTTTATATTTTTGGGATCATTTGTGAGAAGGAGGCAGTGAGACTTTAAAGAAAGTATCACTGCCTCCTTCTCCAAATGATCCAAAAAATATAAAAATTAAATAAAGTTGGTTCAACACAGTGGTGGGTCATTTTGACCCTAGGACAACGGGAGGGTTAAACCACACAGAGAAGTCAACTTCATCCACTGGATCCTAAAACCACACAGAGAAGAAGACTTCATCCACTGGATCCTAAAACCATACAGAGAAGTAGACTTCATCCACTGTATCCTAAAACCACACAGAGATGTAGACTTCATCCACTGGATCCTAAAACCACACAGATCCCATACAAATTACACACTAACACCTTGTTAAACATGTATACAAACTCTAGCACAGAAAATAGGCTGCTTCAGTAATTGACTGAAGTATGGAGAGAGTGAATTGATGTTTAGCTCATTCACAAATCACCACAGAGCAGAAAACTCTATTAAAACCATTAGAACACAGCCTTACTGTTTCTAAAATGAGAAAATATATTACAACCATTCAATCAGGCATTGCCTCTCATATTACACTGATCATTGCATAGTTTACATTATAGAATAGCACATAAGTAGCTCTACATGTTCTGCAATGGATTTAATGACCAATTATGGACATTAGAAGAGCGATGCTTACAACAGTCAGGGGACAAGTATTTAATATACTAGGGAGACAGTGAATTTCTTACCGACAATCTAATTCCACCACCGGATCCACTTTACGGAGACTAGGGAACATCAACAGAACTTTAGACCTCGCTAGATGACTGCAAATCTAGTTACCTGAGTAATAAACCAGAATAATGTACTGTTAGTCCTCTGCAGTCCGTTTGTTAGGTTACTACATGCTGTTGTGAGTTGTATATCTATACGCTGTTGAGTAAGGAATGGTATTGTTCCTGGAATATTACAACTTTTTTAAAAGTATCTAAAGAGTATGTTAGTATTGTGGGACAATAGAACAAATTAAATAAAAGGCTTTGGGTCACGTACACAGTTTAGCAGATGTTAAAGCTGGTGCAGCGATAAATGGGCCTAACACAGAGAACAGAAGCTTGTACTGGCCCATAGCTAGGCAAAGGCAAGGGGAAAGAAGAGACTATTCTTAGTGGATGGAGACGAGACTGGAATCTTTATAAAAATGTGCATTCTGAGATGAGAATTCTGCCAATTATATATGGCTTTGAGGAACAAGTAACCCTCACACAGGCGTATGTTCATCCATATTGTTTTGGTATTTGTTAGACAATCGATGAAGGGCTGGTCATCTTCACAACTCAACTCATCAACTAAAACAACGAGCATATGGGAATGTAGCCTGTAAGTCAAAAGAGTTAGTTTACCCCTCAAGAAAAAACACCACTCAATACAAATACACAGAAGTTATTAATTTGATGGTTATCCATGAATTATTAAAAAAACGATCTATCAGCTATGTGCATGTTAAACAGAGGTTACTAACAAGACGATGAGAGAGATATTATTAATATTTAATGTATCAAGGTGTGTAATCCACATGATCAGGGGTTATGAAGGCTGCTGTCTCTGGCTAACAGCACACTGCTAGCTATGCTGCTCTCTGAAAACATAATAACATTATACCTGAGAAGGATCCAACTATTGTTGATTCATTCAGTTGAAAAATCTAAATGTCACTGAGTAGAGATACAGGAAAGAAGGACAAAAATACATATATATTTTAAGTAAAATGTATACGAAGAATTACGTTTCTTTGACCTCTTGACCTCCTAGAAAAAAGGCTCTGGATAGAACCAAAAAGGGTTCTATGCTTGCTTCATATATGGAACCCCTTAAGTTTTTCTAAGAGTGTAGAGTTACATAAAAACTGAAATGAACCCATGACCTTTCCCATAAAGCAATACTGGTGTGTGTGAGTGTGTGTTTAAAACTCTCTCAGGAGAGCAGAACGTCAACGTATGGTATTCTACTCCTGTGATTTGAACAATACAATATACACGTATACAATACCATAAGGTCACTATGGTAACCATCACTATGTTTACACAATGAATCTGAAAAGTTCTGGTTGGCTTGACGTCAACTGCTTGTGTTTGTTATGTTGTTGTTAATAGTGTGTTAACATGTTATTTTATAAAGGTGCACAGTAGGCCCTCTATTGACCGACAGTCCAGAGACACGCTGCTGATCTTCCTACTGTATTTATGGTCTAGCTCTAGGTCCAACCTCATTCTCTCAATCTTAATCATGATTCTCAAATATCTTACAATGTTGTTATAAATAGCCTAAGTAATAAATAGGCTATGTTTTGCCTGTATACTACACAGATGAAAAAGCATCATATATGTAATGGAAGTGGTTTGGTGAACCATGCATGAGGCCTAGGCTTTAGCTCAGCGGCTAACACAGTCCTGTAGCAGGTTTAAACCCAGTCGGTCACACATTGAGCCAGAATTTGGAGGTCGTCTTGGGTTGAGACCAACTGGGTTTAATATTAAAGCTCTTGAGAGCTCCTGAGTTCCAAATGGCTAACGTCGTTAGGTATCTCAAGTACCGGACCAGTTGACCAAAGCCCATCTCAGAAACCTTGTTACATTTCCTTTGATGTACAGCCCCCTGACTTACAGGCTGTGTCTAAATGGTCTCACATGATGATTAGAAGGCTTTTAAACATGGCTGCCGGTCCACGTCTCTGTTTCGGCTGCTCAGATGGACGACTAATGTAATTGCCCACCTGTTACAAGTGCTGTGGCTTCATAAAACCAGCTCTGTGCTTCCCTCTGTCATTTGTCTAGCAATGATCATCATGATCGTGCTCACTGCAGATATAGTTGTGTTTGGTTACAGAGAAGGAGTTGACAGAGGAGGGAGAACTAATACAGGAAGTTGAGTGGCCATGTCCAAGTGGCTGCCTGGCTATGTTGCCAGCTTGCTCTAGTGTTATGTGAATTGATATAACTCCCCAGCTTGCTCTATGGAAGGGGTGTCAAACTAACTTTTCCCCTGGGAACGCATTCGATCTTCAACGAGATCCGGAAGGGCTGCACTGAAAATGTGTTATATTTCCTCGCTGGCAAAATTGGCATTTATTTTTTCCTCTTTCCATCGTTTTTTTGAATTTCCGATGCTCATTGACTGTCTAGCTTTTATTTAGGTAATTATTAGCGAGCTGGACACAGTCAAGAAACTGCATAAATGTAGGTCCATTATCATTTCTACACAGTTTTCATTTGATTTTAGACTTTTTAAAGTATACCGTTTATCTTTTACTCAAACCACCCGCGGGCTGGATTGGACCCCCGCGCAGGCTGTATATTTCAATCCCCTGCTCTATTGTTATGGGAATCAAATCAAATCAAAGTCATGAACGCAGATTTCCAGATGTTATCCCAAGTCCAAGGAAATGCTTGTTTTCTAGCTCCAACAGCGCAGTAATACCTAGCAATACAAAACAATACACACATAATGAAAAAATTAAGAAATTAAGTGAAAGCTATGATCCCTTATTGATGGCACTTGTTAAATTCACTTTAATCAGTGTAGATGAAGGGGAGGAGACAGGTTAAAGAAAATTTAGAAAATTGAGACATGGATTGTGTATGTGTGCCATTCAGAGGGTGAATGGGCAAGACACAAAATGTAAGTGCCTTTGAACAGGGTATGGGAGTAGGTGCCAGGCGCTGCTGAGTTTTTTACGCTCAACAGTTTCCTGTGTGTATCAAGAATGGTCCACCATCTAAAGGACATCCAGCCAACTTGACACAACTGTGGGAAGCATTGGAGCTTTTGACCCCTTGTAAAGTCCATGCCCCGACAAATTGAGGCTGTTCTGAGGGCAAAAAGGAAGGTGTTCCTAAAGTTTGGTATACTCAGTTTATTAAGTGAATTGATATAACGCCAGATACTGTTGGAGACAGTTCACAAGTCTTAAACCAGCAGCAACCGTACCAGCCACTTGTGCCATAAAGATTCTGAACTCCTGGCAGAGGCTATGTACTTCACACTCACATGCAGGCAGATAGCTAGCTATTAATATTGCCTGTAAAATGTCCTCCTGGTGTCAAACTGGTTTAAAACTGGTGTCAAAATCCAGGAGTCTCAACCTCTCCTCATACAGACCCTTGAACTCATCCAGGAGATGATTCATGTTATTGGTAACAGGTCAGTGAATGATCCCACCACCATCATAATCAACTTTTGATGTTGAGTTTTTGTCACTTGTCACTTTTGTGACCAGACCACTGTGATTTTTCTAGTTCGTCTCACTGACAACTGAACTGTCTTTTCGGTTCTCCTATACTAAAATGTTCTCACAGGTATTCATCATCGACAATTATGTTGAACAATGATGGGAAAAAAATTAACTGTCAACATAAGGTTTTTCTGAAAACAGTATAGATGCCATGTGTATCGTTACAAAGTAAAAGTGGATAGAGAGAAGTTGGTTGTTAGGTCGGTAACTACAACCACAGGGTTAGTTATAAAAAATCTTTGCTATCACCATCGATTTGGATGTAGGAAACTTGCTTGCAGTAGTAGCCTGCCCTTTGCAGGGATATGATTGGCTCAAGTAGCTTTCCGTCTACAAATGTACAGTGTTGATTGGTCGAGATGCATGTGAATGACTAATGCTGCGACGTCATTGCCAACTGGGTTAAGTTGAGGTTGAGGGATTTCCCTAATGCATTTTACCCGGGTCATGGCTAGAAGGATCCAGCTTTTGTCAAATTAACGTCAAAAGTAGATATTTTTTTGGATTTTAGCTAACCCTAACCCTTTTCCTAACCTTAACAATTCTCCTAACCTGATACGTTAATTCTCCTAACCTGATGCCCAAGTTCTCCTAACCTGCTATGCAGTTGTGTAGTGGTGCCTCGAGAAGTGATTTCCCAGCAAACCGGGAACATTCCTAGAACATTAGCTAAGATTCCCATTAAGTTCTAGTTAGGGTTTTATCTAACATTTGGATGATAACCTGCAATGTTTGGTTCCCAAGGCAGGTCTTTTATCCTCTGTGCCACCTGCTGAGCATGTTGTGGTAATATTAGGTAAAACTTAAACATGACATTTTCAAAATGTTATTCAACCTCAAAGACAAGGTAAAATGTATATTGTGTGAACTTCAATATAATTTTATGTTAAACTTAAAATAAATATGCTATATGTCATAAAAACAGACTAATTCCTTCTTACAACATTAAGGGAACGTCCTGTGCAACCTAACTTAAACATTGTAGGAATGTCATCACAACTGAGCATATTTCGTGTTTTGGGAACCTATCTCTTGTAATGTACTCACACTGTTCCCAAAACCTAATGAAATGTTCTGGGAACTTTTAAAGAACTCAGAAAGGCTGTTCTGTCAACATTCTTGGAACATCAAAGGAATGTTTTGTGCACCCTGATACAAACATTAGCTGAATGTCAGCACAACTGGACAGTTTTTGTGTTTTGGGAACCTATCTCTTGTCATATCCCCACCAGACTGTTCCCACAACCTAATGAAACATTCTGGGAACCTTTAAAGAACAGATTAAATGTGTTCAGGGGATGTTCTTGTAACATCAGGTGAGTTTTCTTTGCACCCGAAAATAAACATTGTAGAATCATCCACACATATGGACAGTTTTTGTGTTTTGGGAACATACAGTACCTTCAGAAATACCCCTTGACTTATTCCACATGTTGTTGTGTTACTGTCACACCCTGATCAGTTTCACCTGTCTTTGTACTTGTCTCCACCCCCCTCCAGGTGTCGCCCATCTTCCCCATTATCCCAAGTGTATTTATACCTGTGTTCTCTGTTTGTCTGTTGCTAGTTCGTCTTGTCCTGTCAGGTTTTACCAGCGTGCTTTCCCGTTTTCCTGTTTCTCAAGTGTTTGTTTCCTAGTTTTCCAGGTTCTGACCATTCTGCCTGCCCTGACCCCAAGCCTGCCTGCCGTCCTGTATCTGCCCTTTGCCTGCCCTGTGTTCTACTAAATTATTATTGAGAACTGTACTATCCGCCTACTGTGTCTGCATCTGGGTCACATCCTGAGTCGTGATAGTTACAGCCTGAATTCAAAATGGATTAAATAAAAACAATTCTCACCCATCTAAACACAATACCCCTTAATGACAAAGTGAAAACCTGTTTTTAGATGTTTTTGCACATTTATTTAAAATTAAATACAGAAATATCTAATCTACGTAAGTATTCACACACCTGAGTCAATACATGTTAGAATAACCTTTAGCAGTGATTACAGCTGTGAGTCTTTCTGGGTAAGTTTCTAAGAGCTTTGCACACCTGGTGTGCACAATATTTGCACATTATTCTTTTAAACATTCTTCAAGCTCTGTCAAGTTGTTTGTTGATCATTGCTTGACTGCCATTTTCACGTCTTGCCATAGATTTTCAAGCCAATGTAAATTCAAAAGTGTAACTAGGCCACTCAGGAACATTCAATGTCTTCTTGGTAAGCTACTCCAGTGTATATTTGGCCTTGTTTTAGGTTATTGTCGTGCTAAAAGTTGAATTTGTCTCTCAGTTTCTGTTGGAAAGCAGACTGAACCATGTTTTCCTCTAGGATTTTGCCTGTGCTTAGCTCTATTCCATTTATTTTTATCCTAAAAAACTCCCTAGTCCTTGCCGATGACAAGCATACCCATAACATGATGCAGCCACCACCATGCTTGAAAATATGAAGAGTGGTACTCAGTGATGTGTTGTATTGTGTTGCTTTTTATTCAAGACAGAAAGTTGTTTTCTTTACCACATTTTTTGCAGTTTTACTTTAGTGCCTTATTGCAAACAGGATGCATGTTTTGGAATAGCTGTATTCTGTACAGGCTTCCTTTAACTCTGGCTAAGCTTCCGGCAAGGCAAGAGGGGCAGGTTCCGGGTCGAGAGCCAGACCCGATCACCCAGTACAAAGACCGGGGCCTCACTGCGGTGTTGGTCAGCGTTGGCCTTCTGGCGACGCACGCCGCGCTGGAGGTGGACGTGGGCAGCATTCCACGTCTCCTCTGCACGCCAAAACCAGTCGTCCACCACAGGAGCTTCGGTCTGGCTCTGATGCCACGGTGCCAGGACCGGCTGATACCCTAAAACACAATGAAATGGAGATAGGTTAGTGGAGGAGTGGTGGAGAGAGTTCTGGGCATATTTGGCCCATGGCAAGAACACCAACCACTCCCCCGGCCGGTCCTGGCAGTAGGACCACAGGAACCTATTCACATCCTGATTCACCCGTTCCACCTGCCCATTAGATTCGGGGTGAAACCCAGAGGTCAGGCTGACCGAGACCCCCAGACGTTCCATGAACGCCTTCCAGACCCTGGACATAAACTGGGGACCCCAGTCAGACACTATGGTCTCTGGCACCCCGTAGTGCCTGAAGACGAGAGTAAACAGGGCTTCTGCAGTTTGCAGGGCCGTGGGGAGACCGGGCAGAGGAAGGAGGCGGCAAGCTTTAGAAAAGTGGTCCACAATGACCAGGATGGTGGTGTTACCCTGAGAGAGGGGAACATCAGTTAAGAAGTCAATTGATAAGTGGGACTATGGCCGTTGTGGAACTGGTAAGGGATGTAACTTACCCACTGGAAGGTGCCTAGGTGCCTTACTCTGGGCACACACCGAGCAGGATGAGACATACACCCTCACGCCAAGGTAGGCCACCAGTACTTCCCGGTCAGGTAGCGCACTGTATGCCCGATGCCTGGGTGACCAGAGGAGGGGGACGTGTGTGCCCAATAGATAAGACGATCATTGACAATAGACAGCATGTACCACAGCCCAGCTTGGAACTGGGGTGGAGATGGCTCTGCACGTAATGCTCGCTCTATGTCCGCGTCCACCGGCCACACTACCGGCACAGTAATGCGCCGGTAGTGTATGGGGGGGTTGTCTATGGGCCTCTCCTCTGTGTCGTACAGCCGTGACAGTGCATCTACCTTCACGTTCTTTGTGCCTGGTATGTAGGGCACCGTGAAGTCAAACCGGGTGAAGAACAAGGCCCATCTGGCATGGCAAGGGTACAGCCTCCTCACTGCCTGGATGTACTCCAGGTTACGGTGGTCAGTCCAGACGAGGAAATTGTGTTTCGCCCCCTTGACCCAGTGCCTCCACGCCTTCAGGGCTCTGACAACAGCCAACAGCTCCCGATCACCAACGTCATAGTTCTGTTCCACCGAGCTGAGCTTCTTAGAGAAGATGGAACAGGTGTGGAGCTTGGGTGGCGTGCCCAAGTGTTGGGATAGGACAGCGCCTACCCCTACCTCGGACGCATCCACCTCCACTACGAACAGCAATGATGGATCGGGATGGGCCAGTACCGGGGCTGAGGTGAACAGAGCCCTCAGGTTACTGTCAGCCTCAGCAGACCAGCGGAGCCGGGACGGCCCACCCTTCAACAGAGAGGTGATGGGAGCTGCGACCTTGCCAAAGCCCCGGATAAACCTCCAATAGTAATTGGCAAAGCCAATGAAACGCTGTACCTCCTTTACCATGGTTGGAGTCGGCCAATTACGCACGGCTGAAATGCGGTCTACCTCCATCTCCACACCTGAGGTGGTGATGTGGTATCCGAGGAAGGAGACGGACTGTTGGAAGACACTTTTCTGCCTTGGCACATAGGTCATGCTCCAACAGTCGGCCCAGCACTTTGCGAACCAGGGACACATGCTCGGCACGCGTAGCGGAATACGCCAGAATGTCATCGATGTAGACCACCACACCGCGACCAAGCATGTCCCGAAACACCTTGTTCACAAAGGACTGGAAGACTGATGGAGCATTCATCAAACCATAGGGCATCACCAGGTATTCATAATGCCCCATGGTTGTGCTAAAGGCTGTCTTCCACTCGTCCCTTCCCGGACACGCACCAGGTTGTACGCACTCCTGAGATCTAATTTCGTGAAGAAGCGCGCCCCATGCATTGATTCAATAACAGAGGAGATGAGGGGTAGAGGGTAACTATAGCGAATGGTAGTTTGATTAAGTGCATGGTAATCAATGCAAGGGCGCAGACCTCCGTCTTTCTTCTTCACAAAACATTTACTAGAGGAGGCGGGTGAAGTGGAGGGACGTATGAACCCCTGGCGCAGGGTCTCGGACACGTATGTCTCCATAGCCTCCGTTTCAGCCTGTGACAGGGGATATAC